ATAAACAATAGAGAATATTTGCTTGGTCAATATGCAGATAATGCCTTTTTATTCCTACATGGTTCTTCAAAGTCATTGTCAAGTACTATAAATGACTTCAATATATTTTCTACAGTATCTGGACTTAAACTTAACATAGATAAGTGTCGATTGATATGGATCGAAAACAAGAAATACTCAGAAGAGATTTTATGCCCTGAACATAAATTTGATTGGTCTTCAAAAAACTTAAAACTTCTTGGTATACATTTTTCTTTGGCGTTATCTGAAATCATTGAATTAAATTTTAAAGAAAAGCTATCAAAAATAAGAAAATTGCTTGGAATGTGGTCTAAAAGAAATCTTATTCTTTTAGGAAAGATCACAGTTGTTAAAACACTGGCACTACCACTTATAACACATCTACTGTATTCACTGTCAAATCCAGGTATAAAATGGATAAGTGAAATTAACACAGCTTTTTATAGATTTATATGGGGGTACAAACCTGACAAGATCAAACGGGATACGATGATTCTTGAATATGGAGATGGAGGTTTAAAGATGATACACATTGAAAGTTTTAAGTTTTATGAAATACCTGAAAATTAAGTGGGTGAAAAGGCTATATGATGGAAAGGGGGACTGGCAAAGTTTAGCAAAATCTAATTTTAGTAAATTTGGAGGGGAGAGATTATGGAATCTGAAAAAAATCAAAACTGGAGGAAATATCGAAAAATATAACTAATGTTTTCTGGAAAGATGTTATTTTAGCATGGAAAGAATATAAAGATGATAATAATGAAGTATCAAGTTTTCTTGGTGATGATCTTTTGAATTACATACCAGTTCCTAGTTACAAAAAATTTATTGAATATGAACGGAATGGGGTGAAGACAGTTAAGGGCTTGTTGGACAATAATTATCAGTTTTTGTCATTCAATGAAATTAAGACTAAATGTGTGAAAATGAATTTTTTACAATATTTTGCAGTAATAGACCACATTCCAAGAGAAAACTTAAACATAATACGACAACAACCATTGATCAACAATCAATCAGAAAACAGTAATTTTTTAAGAAGACATCTTCAAGCAAAAGATCTTAGATATGTTTATAAAGCGATTGTTGCTAACTACAAACATTATCCAGTTGAAAGGCAGGAAAAATGGAATAGAAAGTTAAAAACAAATTTAAATGATGATATAGGTTGGGAGAAAATTTATTTAACAAGCTTTCTTGTGACAATTGACACAAAACTTCAAAATCTACAATTTAAGATTCTTCATAGAATATTAACAACAAACAGTTTTCTTTACCAAATTAATGTTAAGGATGAGATCTATGTACTTTTTGTAGAGATGCACCAGAATCATTGAACACCTATTTTTTAACTGTGTGAAAATAAATAATATATGGAATGATTTAATAGCTTGGGTGAATGACTTGAATAACAATATTATCATTATTGATCATATGAATATCAAGGATGTGTTATTTTTTTGTGAAAAGGGTCATAAACTATCTCATACTGATTATTAAATATTATATCTATACATGTCGATTCAAAAATATTGAACCGTCTTTCAATGGTGGAAAAAGAACGCATTATTCAACAACAACAAATTGAAAAAAATATGTCTTCTTTGAATAACACAATGAACAAGTTTAACCAAAAGTGGTCTCCCCTTAATATTTAAGAAAAAAGCTTTTAATATCAATTGCATATCCGGGTAAACTTACAAATCGTAAAGAATTAATTAAAACATGAAGGAAGATTTTTGGTATTTTAGTAAATAACAGGCGTACATGTATGTATTATATCTGTCTTGTGTATGTGTTATGTTGATAAGTATGTTTATTGGTTTATGTGTATGTGTAGATGGTAAATATATAATTATTTACTGTAATAGAAAGGATGGATGTATCCATATATTAATGTCTTCATATAAAGAATGTTTGCAATATCTATATGCTGTCAGGCATGCGAGGATGTGTGTGTATGGGTACGAGTGTATGTGTGTACAATTATGTGTGGTATATATGTATGACCCAAGTAATATATTTGTCATTTCGAGTGTGTGTATGATGTATTTATGAATAAATAATTTGCAGTTAAATTTCACACAATTGTACACTGTTTATGTTTTTGTGTTTATGTATATACAATGTAGGTCTAAGTTGCTAGGTACATTAGTATTTGTACTCTTTTTTATTTCCCCAGACATTCCTTCTTAAACTAATCCAAATTACACATGAATAACAACATCATTCAAAGTACATGAATTCGGTTTTATCTTGTCTAAATTTTAGGACAATACGGCAATCCCAAATCAATAAAGCAGAATTTTTGGCATGTAAATGAATTTATAAATATAAAAATAATTTCATTATTTGAATATATGAAGAAGGAATGGTTGATGTAATTTAATATATCAATTTAATCAAAATGAATATTATCGTTATTGTAATGAATGAAATATACGTATGAAAGAATGAATGATTTTGAATTTGAGTATGAAAGAATGAATGAAAAAGAAAGAGAGAATGTAGAGAAAGAGGCCTTTTGCATGAGGCTATATTATGTAAGAGGGATGATTCCGGGGCACCCCAACCCTGGCATCCCTCCCAAAGATGCTGGGGGAATAAAACAATTTGAACCTAAAAAAAAATAAAAAAAAATATCTCGCTTGCATAATTGAGAATTGGGCTCACATAAGTTCTGAATAATGATAACATAGTTTGTACATTAAAATCAAACTTCCGTGTCTTTGAGTTTAGTGCAAACATTGCTTTTTGACCTTGCTCAGACAGCTTATGCTGGGTCTTAGTAAATTTTCCGTTATAGTTTAATAATAATCCTACATAATTAAATTCGTCAACAACTTCTATATTTTCACCATCATATAACCAATGTTCATTATCTCGAGCCTTCCCAGCCTTTCGAAAAACAACCATTTTAGTTTTCTGAGTATTAACAGTTGGTGGAGGGCTAGTGGTAGCAGAGTGTCAGACGCCTTAATTAACCACTTGTCCACCGCCGCCCCTTAATTTATACACATTAATGACAAAAATTATGGGAACTTACCACTTAGTTGTCTGTTATTAAAAACTCAAACTTGAGTTTGTTTAAGGGAACACATAAGTATTTGTCATTATATACAGGAAATCACAATACTGTAACCTGTAATATTTTTGCCCCATCAGCTTTAATTTTCCCTCTTGGCCTTAAATACGATTCCATGCCAGCATATAACCCAAGGTCACACAGAAATAATCCTGGGTCACACAGAAATAACCCTTGGAAACACAGAAATAACCCTGGGGCACACAGATTTAACCCTGGGGCACACAGATTTAACCAAAGGTGTACAAAGTAACAAATCAGGGTCACACAGAAATAACCCTGGGTCACACAGAAATAATTCTGTGCCACACAGAAATAATCCAGGGTCACACAGAAATAACCCTGGATTACACAGAAATAACCCTGGGTCAAACAAAAAATAATCCTGGATCACACAGAAATAACCCTGGGTTGCACAGAAATAACCCTGGGTCACACAGAAATAATCCTGCATCACACAGAAATAACCCTGAGTCAACAAAAAATAATCCTGGATCACACAGAAATAACCCTGGGTCACAAAGAAATAATCTTGCGTCACACAGAAATAACCCTGGGTCACACAGAATTAACCCTGGGTGTACACTGGAGTTTCACACTCTCATTAAACAAAATAATTGCAATATAATTACTTGAGTCTGAAAGAATTGTGGCATTTTTTGTTTTCTAGATCATATACATGTAACCCGATGTTTATATTGTGCGTGTTATATATTTATATAAAGATACATGTAAGAGTTTGTGTGTATACTTTACCTAAAAGTACACATGTTTGTGACGTCATTGATTGTGTTGATACATGTTTGTGACGTCATTGATTGTGTTGGTACATGTTTGTGACGTCATTGATTGTGTTGATACATGTTTGTGACGTCATTGATTGTGTTGGTACATGTTTGTGACGTCATTGATTGTGTTGGTACATGTTTGTGACGTCATTGATTGTGTTGGTACATGTTTGTGACGTCATTGATTGTGTTGGTACATGTTTGTGACGTCATTGATTGTGTTGGTACATGTTTGTGACGTCATTGATTGTGTTGGTACATGTTTGTGACGTCATTGATTGTGTTGGTACATGTTTGTGACGTCATTGATTGTGTTGGTACATGTTTGTGACGTCATTGATTGTGTTGGTACATGTTTGTGACGTCATTGATTGTGTTGGTACATGTTTGTGACGTCATTGATTGTGTTGGTACATGTTTGTGACGTCATTGATTGTGTTGGTACATGTTTGTGACGTCATTGATTGTGTTGGTACATGTTTGTGACGTCATTGATTGTGTTGGTACATGTTTGTGACGTCATTGATTGTGTTGGTACATGTTTGTGACGTCATTGATTGTGTTGGTACAATGTTTGTGACGTCATTGATTGTGTTGGTACATGTTTGTGACGTCATTGATTGTGTTGGTGCGTTGGCGTACTCGTTTTGTGTGTTGCATGTTCGTCACTAATTTGATTGGTCAGAGTTGTTATTTGGTCAACTGACCAATTGCAGCACTTGCTTAACCATTCAACTTGTATTTTATATGGACTTGTATCCAACTCACAACTGGAGACCCCCTTAGGAGTCAGACATACATCAAACACACTGCATACTTCCAACTTACATTGGAAGAAGACCTTTGTGCACAGCATCCTGGTGAGTGTGCATTGTTTAGTACTTTATTCTAAACCAATTAATTTATAATTTATAAATTAATTCAGCAACGCGATGAGTAAATTGAACTTCATTATCGTTAAAACGTATGTGTGATGGTGTGAAAGATATATTTGTTGTTTTATGTGAAATTTATATATGTAAATTTATTATTTATAGGTCCCAAAATCATTCAGATATCAGGGGCTACAATATTATAATAATTATCACGATTCCTAACTAACAAACCTGTACTGTCTTGGTTATCCTGGTCCTCTTCAAACTTATATACATCATCATGGCGTGGTATGTCATCCTCTCCTCGTACCAATTTATTAACTTTTTTTCTAAACTCTTTTTCCTTTGGATCTGAAAATTTAAAATACATAATTGTGTACAAATGACAAATCTACCCTTGTTCTCTCTCAAGATATGCACCATAATCATCTCCAGTTCTCCAACTACAGCATCCTGCCAGAAGTATTTGTGATTTCCCAGCTTTATTCTACATCTCACGTTCCTTTTTATATTGACTGTTTATCAGGCTATTTAATTACCAGTGAGTATAGTGCCACTGAAACAAAATGTCATAAACTGAAAAATACATTTCTAAACAAGAGGTTAAATTGGCCTGTACCACCCACCTGATACACATCTCACATTTGTGAACTTCAAACAGCGTACATTTAAAATTGCTGAATTGTTTTTACTCTATACAATACCTGCCGTAGTTAGAAGATTTTCTTACCTGGTACTCTACACTTTATGAATCTATGATGGAAGATTTTAACTTCTTTTATTAATCTGACTTCAGTTTGTCTAGGTCATTCATTTCAGAAAATAATTTGTGAACCGCATGGAGACAACCTACGAACTAGGTAGTCTTTTATCCCTAATCTTTAGATTAGAATCTTATAAAAAAGGGAATAAGGATTTTAAAGATTTGCCTCAAGTTCCCCTATTGGGCCCTGCCCCTCTGTTCCCAAGGGGGCTACACCCTCTGTTAATACACAAATGAGTCCCCCCTACCCAAAGATGTTCCAGGCCAAATTTTGCTAAAATCCACTGAGCCATTCAGGACAAGTAGTATTTTGTTTTTAAAGATGATTGACAGAGGACGAACACCGAGTTACTTCGGGCAGGTGAGCTAAAAACCGATAGTCAGTCGGGACTAGTAGTTTTCAATTTAATTGTCCTTTTGTAAATTCCATTAACCCAACAGTTTTCAATGTGAAAAGTAATATCAAATTTTGACAAGTCAGTGGGGCATATTTGGTACTCTGACGAATAGATGACAGGGAAAAAACACTGACTTGGTGATGTGTCCTCGTATACATGTACGTTACAACCCAAACACTGGATCAATCTAAATACTCAAACTTGCACCCATTGAACAACATTATTTGTCTTGTTTGCAAAATCATAATTGGTCAAGTCAGTGAGTTTTTTGCCTAGTTTTACAGCCAAATAAAGGCCTCTTTAAATTCCCCTCGCCAAAAATGTGCTTCGATCATTTTTCCAAATTGATGCAAAAATTAGGAATGTCTTCTCAATTTCAACTGGCTGTTGTAAAATTTGGGTAAGAAAAACACAGGTCATTCACATCTTACTTCGGCCATGAAATACTGACCCATTCCCTGGCATATATAATGTAGCATGGCTCTTTTGGCTCTCAGAATATTTTCTGGTTCTTCGTCATAGTTCTCAATTATTCCCACTATATTGTCATGTATTTGCAATGCATCTTCATAGGCTTTCCTCTTCTTTTCTGTAATCAAAATGTGTTTTTTTAATTAACGGTTTATTCATGAAGTGTATATATATATATATCATATACATACATATACTGGCACAAGTTGCATGAATATAATTTTTACACAAACCATGAGCGAGTGAGGAAAATAATAAAGTAAAAACAAATCATGCATGTGAAATTATATATTCATTTGGTAAATTACAGTGTACATTACGAACAGATTTTTTTAAAGTAGATTTATCTTTAAATTTCTATGATGTTGCTTAAGGTGACGATGATTGTGAAATTCTTTTGAAAGTGCATATCATAGTATACTAAGCAAGATATATGGTAATGGGCCTACTGTTTGATCAATTATCATCACAATTCTTGTTGTTTAAACTGCAGAATATTGAGGTTACAACTGTTAAATGCATATTCATGAATCTAATATTTTGTAACTGGAGATGGCAGTCGGGGGCCGCGTTTCTCAAGCAACAGCGACTAAATAAATAATTACGCTCAAAATAAGACGGTCCTGGTATACTTTTAATTTCATTGTTTGAGTTGTTGACATTGTGCAAGTATTTCATTACATCAAACCAAATTATACGAATTTGCTTCATGCAAAACTATTCTCATTAACCAATTTAACTTGTGAATTGATTTTGAGTGTGTCATAACGAAATACTTCATTGTCATTTGTGTTTCTTCCTGTATTGATCAACGATAGAACTGAAAGAGTGACAAAACGTATATATATATATATATATATAGTAGATAATAAATAAATAAGTCCTTGTGAAGGAAAATATAGAATAAAAACAAATTTTTCAGATCGTCCGCTAGGCCTTTCTGCCTTCTAGGGCTTCTTCAGGCGCCTGAATGTATGGAAAGCGACTAGATGAAAATGGTAATAACATCATGCTCCCATCTGTTAATTATAGCCAGTGTCACATTCCCTACACAATGTATAGTACCGACTTTTGACCAATGTTGTAATGACGACAGTATCTGACATAATTTGGACCACCGATGTAATGATGTCAGCCCAACATTACATTTCTGCACCGGATGTGGTACCTGACATTAGACCACAGATTTACTGACATTCGAATGAACGTAAATTTCATATGTTGACAGAGGGCCAACATCAGAATTCAGTGTTGGGCCAGCAAAACTTTTTGCCAAATGTTAGCCGTCGTTAAACCAACACTTAGATCTGAGGTGGAGCCATTTTCACTGCGGTGGACAAACATATGTTGAGCCAACGTTCGTTTCCCTTGTCAGGCCAACGTTTGGTGTCACATTGGCCCTAGTGTATGTTTGACCAATGTCTGACTCACTCAGCTAGCTGTGTTATAATCATGATAGGATATTCTCATGAGAAGACGCCAGGGATAGTGCTGTCCTAACCTGTATTTAACTGGCCCTGGCACCAGACTTAGAAATTTTGACATATAGATCCCACACCTGCAGACATCTATCTCAGTATCTGTCAAAATGTCCAAGTCTGGAGTCAGGGCCAGAGGAAATTCGGACTAGAGCTACCCATCTTTAAGATTTTATCCCGCATTTATTGACTTCAGAAGGAAATAAAAGAGATATCTGTAAGATTTAAGTATTCGTTTACAGTAATATGAAGAAACGGGTTTGCAATAGTTCGTGTCACAGATAGTTGAATAATGTGTGACTTGTGTGCATATTAAAGGTAAAACGAAACCAGTTATTTTATAATATAACCGGCCTAATATAACTATGTTGATCTTACTCTGGTCTTTTAGCGTGACGGTACGAGTTTCAGATGTGTAAAACAGTAACATTTGTCGAGTGAAATACAATCAGTAACATAAATTTAAACAATCCTACCCAAATCATTCCTATCGGCCATCGCGATCGTGAGGCATCTGCCTCAACAAGAAGCGTTTCCTTGTCTTGATCAGTAAACTGTTTGGCTCAGACTCACATAGACGTTTCCAGAAGGTCTCGCACCACAATTTATTTTCACTCCTCAAATCAACGTACTATCCCCAAATTAAGTACCTACACATAATTCAATTTAAATGTGTACACATAATTATTTGTATTGTAAACACATACAACTCATTATATTGCATAAACAAAATTCAATGTAATTTATACACATACTTCATCGTATTGTATACAATACAATTCATTAGTTTAAACACGGAATTAGATTAGACACTGTTATCTAAGTCCGTGGTTTAAACTTTATTTTATTATCGATATAATATTCCAGTAATACAAACATGATATACATATAGGATTCGAATACAAGTACAAAGTAGGCCTACTTATGTTAATCCATCGTCGGATACCCACGGTTGATTTCGCTTCGGTACTCACTATGAGTACCGAAGCGAAATCAACCGTGAGTATCCGACGATGATGTTAATCAGTCTCCTTTGTTTGTAAATAGATATATGTACGTTGATACGGAAGAGAACTTATAGGGGAGGAAGAAGGGAAAGAGGTGCAAAACTGAAAAGGGTTTAAAGAAAGTATTGTTGGGGGCAAAATATAAAGGGGATTTACATTTACTGCATTATGGGAGGAAAAACTGATTGGAGTATATTTTGGATGTCGACACATGTCGAGGACTGTACATGTCACTGAGGTATTCAACACACAATAAAGTATATATATATATATATAAAGAAAACATTGAGAAGTCCTTGTGTTGGAATTAAATATGAAAAATAGAACAAAAGACAGAGATAGCGTCTCTAGGCCTTAACATGTATCTCTAGGCCTGATCATGTATCCATTGGAAATCTGGTACCTGATAAACAAAACAACTGGAGAACTCTAATAATGAACTACCAATCCATAAAAAACAAATCGGGAGAGCTAAAATCTGCAGCGGATTACATCAAACCTGATGCAGTGATAGGCTGTGAATCCTGGTTAAGCAGTAACGTCAAGGACAGTGAGGTCTTCCCAGAGGGGTTTACTGTGTTTGGGAAGGCCTAGAGACGCTATCTCTGTCTTTTGTTCTATTTTTCATATATATATATATATATATATATAAATGAACACTTTCCATTCCAACACCTGAATATTCAGACATCCATTGGTGAACAACAACATGGTGTAATTTAAAATATTAAAAGTATCATCAAACAAGACTATGACGGTTTGTATATATATTTCTACCACAATACGCTGTGTTCACACAGACTGTTAGATAAATATGAGTTATATACCACACGTGGTATATGACCTTCAAGAGTTTTGATTGGTCGAGAAGATGAACTTTGACCGGGAAGACTTTTTCCACGTGCTTTTTGCCACCTGCTGTTTTGTTTACGTCGTCGGCTGTCAACATCCGACAAATGTTGGTGACTCTGTGAGGTTATGCGGAAAGGGGGGTTATTAAGGCAATATTAAAAGATGATACTTAAAGATTTGATCGCTAGTTTCAGGCAAAATTGCCACAGACGCCCGATATCGTTTCGACGTCACACCGTCGCGTGTCCAGGTCGTGAAACCAAAACAAGATCTGTCGCAGTGTCCGGAAATATTTCGTTCTCCCAACGTCCCGTTATCGCTATTTAGACGGTCTGACTATGGCTGAACTTTCACTTTAAACGTCAACCATAGAACAGTCACGAAGAAACGTAGGCCTAGAAACGTAGGCCTATGGTTTTGGATATTGACAGCGGGTCCAAGGGTCTTTAGTAGCCCTAGGCACCAGAGCCATGGAGTGAAACAACGTCATCTATCACCGCACAGTAGTATCCACACTAGTCATGAAACCACACACTCTACAACATCAGTGAGTGCAACAGACAGGATACGTACATCTACCGCGCGAACAACATCAACTTCAAACGCGAATGATCATGTATCCATTGGAAATCTGGTACCTGATAAACAAAACAACTGGAGAACTCTAATAATGAACTACCAATCCATAAAAAACAAATCGGGAGAGCTAAAATCTGCAGCGGATTACATCAAACCTGATGCAGTGATAGGCTGTGAATCCTGGTTAAGCAGTAACGTCAAGGACAGTGAGGTCTTCCCAGAGGGGTTTACTGTGTTTGGGAAGGATAGGAACCATCAGGAGTATTTATTTGTATTAAAGACTGCTTCTCAGTATCAGAAATTCCTGATCCTTACTGTAATAGTGAACTTTTATGGGTGGAGGTGCAACTCAAAGGTGCTAAGAAGGTGAGGATAGGCTCATACTATAGACCACCTGCTACAGGCGAGGACTACATCAGGGGCTTAGAATCATCAATCAGCAAAATTACCAACTCATCCTATAAACATTTGCTGCTAGCAGGGGACTTCAACCTACCACATATAAATTGGAACTCATCTTCAGTCACACCAGGAGCGACACAATCAGCTGTCCATAACATCTTCCTGGACACACTGGACACATTCTCCCTGACCAACGTCCAGAAACAGCCTAGTAGGAACGGAAATGTCCTAGACCTCTGCATCACCAGCAACCCTTCTCTTGTCAAACATGTACAGACAATCCCCTGTATATCAGACCATGATATGGACGAGGACATCAAACATGTGTACCACAAGAAGAAGCCGCGTAAAGTACTGATGTACAAGAATGTTGACTGGAAGGCTGTGAAGGAGGATGCGACCAACCTCAGTGACAAGATCACTAATTCTAGTGACTCGGTTCAGGAAAACTGGACGAATTTCAAAAACGGCTTAAATTCCATCATTGACGAGCGCATTCCATCCTAATTGACCTCAACGAAACCAAATCAGCTACCATGGGTTGGTAGACCAGAACGCCGCCTTATAAAGAGGAAACATCGCCTCTACAACAAAAAGGCTAGGAAAAGTGTAAAGGATGCTGACTGGCGTGCGTACAGAGTCCACAAAAGGGAAACACAAAAGGCGAACTGCAGAATGGTCCCACTTAGAGCGTACATTTCAGGCAGGAATTGAGCAGAAAAACAACAAACCCTTCTGGCGATACATCAAGGGCAGGAAGCAGGACAACATCGGAATTGCCTCACTAAAAGAGGGTAACAAACTACTCACCGACAGTACAGACAAGGCGGAGGCCCTAAATCGACAGTTTCAGTCGGTGTTCACAAAGGAGCCCCCCAATCCGGATCTCCCTACTCTCACCACACCCAAGTATCCCATCATGAGGAACCTCATTATAGATGAGAAGGGAGTTGAGAAGTGTATCCGCGATATCAAAATCAGTAAGGCTAGCGGTCCAGACAACCTTCCAAATCGTGTCCTTCAACAGTGCTCAATCGAACTTGCCCCGGCAATGACCCATATATCCCAACAATCGATTCTGACCGGTGAACTCCCTGATGACTGGAGGAATGCCAACATCACACCAATCTTTAAGAAGGGTAACCGCCATCAACCCATCAACTACAGGCTAGTGTCGCTCACGTGTGTGTGTTGTAAACTGGTTGAGCATATTATCTGCCGCCACCTCAGGAACCATCTCGAGGAATACAACATACTGACACATCTACAACATGGCTTCAGGACAGGACACTCTTGTGAATCTCAGCTACTAATTACCACCAATGACATCACCAGCATGTACGACAGGAAGCTACAAGTGGACACTGCCATCCTGGATTTCAGTAAGGCCTTTGACAAGGTTCCCAATACAAAACTCCTGTACAAATTAGAGAATTTCGGTGTGAACCCCGACATACTATAATGGATCAAGGCCTTCCTGACTTCACGGACCCAACGAGTACTTGTAGACGGCAGCCATTCAACAGGAGTGAAGGTAGATTCAGGGGTCCCCCAGGGGACGGTCCTGGGACCTATACTCTTCCTCTGCCACATCAATGACTTGCCCGACTGCGTAACATCTACTGTACGTCTATTCGCTGATGATTGTCTGCTATACCGTCCAATTCGATGCCTCCAAGACCACCTGGACTTCCAAAAAGACCTCAAGTCCTTGGAAGAATGGGCAACGGAATGGGGTATGTCGTTCAACGCGTCGAAATGTTATATCCTGAGAACATCAAGATCCAAATCGCCTAGTGCCTACAACTACCAACTGTCGGGCTAATTACTCAAAGAAGTAGAAGAAAATCCATACTTGGGGGTGACCATTCACAACTCCATGACGTGGGACTCTCATCTCCGTATCACAACCAACAAGGCAAATTCCACTCTAGGATTCCTAAGACGAAACCTACGAAAGTGCCCAGCGTCACTGAAACTGACAGCATACAAATCGTTGATGAGATCGTCCTGGAATACAGCTGTACGATATGGGACCCTTACCAACAAAACAACATCCACTCGCTGAAAAAGGTACACCGCCGCGCTGCCCGATTCATTACATCAAACTATAGAAGGGACAGCAGTGTAACAGAAATAATGGGCACTCTAAAACTAGCACCACTAAAGGATCGCAGGAGAGACCATCGGCTTGCCCTCTTTTATAAGATCGTGAAGGGGTTAGTGACCATACCTGTAGATCACATATTGACTCCATCAAACACCCGTACCAGATCAAAAAATAGTGAAAGTTACCGACATTTCCAGTGTAATACGGACATATTAAAAAAATCTTTTTTTCCTCGAACAACAACAGAGTGTAATAACCTACCAGAAGACCTCGTCAAATTGCAAAAACTCAAAAGCTTTAAGGCAGCTCTACAAACTGAAACATTATAAACTAAAAGCGCACTCCTCCAGCCCTGGAATTTATACTCAAATTTGAGGTCTTCCAGTAACATACAGATACAGATACAGCGATAAGTTCGTCTACAACGGTTCATCACTTGGCGGGAGGGAGACTTCGTACGATATGCTTACGCGCATATAGTCCGTGGTCAATTTATATAAATTAATGCAGTACTGCTACTCTCAATATTTAAAGTCGTTCATCTATTTATTTTTTCACGAGGTTGTTGCCGAACCATACATTTTTTTTTAAAGGTAATTTTTGAATATTA